TTTTTTTGTTGGAAGACTTTTGATAGCTTCCTGTATCTCATTATAGGATATTGGCTTATTTAATTGGTTAACTTCTTTGCTCAGTTTGGGTAACTTGTATTTCTCTAAAAATGCATCCATTTCCGCCAGATTTTCTTCCTTTAGAGAGTATAGCTTTTGAAAGTAGTCTGTTAGAATTGTTTGGATATCTTGGGTACGTGTTGTGATGTTTCCCTTGGCATCCCTAATCCTATTAATATGGGTTTCCTCTCTTCTTTTTTTAATTAATCTTGCCAACGGGCCATTAATTTTGTTTATTTTTTCAAAGAACCAGCTTTTTGTTTGGTTTATTTTGGTTATGGTTTTCTGATTTTCTAATTGGTTAATCTCTGCTCTCAATTTGGTTATGTGGCTTCGTCTAGTAGCTTTAGGTCCCGTTTTTTCTTGTTTTTCTAGCTGTTTTAGTTGCAACATGAGATTATTTACTTGGTCTGTCTCCATTTTCTTGATGTGGGCACTGAGGGCAATAAATTTGCCCCTCAGGACTGCTTTTGCTGTGTCCCACAAGTTTCTTTGTGAGGTGTTTTCATTTTCATTGAGTTGTAGGAAATGCTTTATTTCTTCTCTGATCTCTTCTGTTACCCAGGCCTTGTTAAGGAGTGTGCTGTTCAATTTCCATGTATTAGAGAAATTTCTGCAGTATGCTTTGTTATTGAGAGCTAGCTTGATTCCACTGTGGTCAGATAGGATACAGGGGATTATGTCGATCCCTTTGTATTTGCTTAAGTTCCTTGCATGAACTATGATATGGTCTATTTTGGAGAAAGTTCCATGAGCTGCTGAGAAGAATGTGTACTGTGTTGTTTTAGGGTGAAATACTCGGTAGATGTCAGTTAATTCCGCTTGAAGTGTGGCCTCACTTAATTCGGTAGCTTCTTTGCCAATCCTCTGGTTGGTAGACCTGTCCTTTGGTGAGAGTGGCGTGTTAAAGTCTCCTAGTATTATCGTATTGGGATCTATTTTATTCTGTAAGTTTGAGAGCATTTGTTTAACATATCTGGGTGCACCGATATTTGGGGCATATAAGTTGATGATGGTTATATCCTCCTCTTGGATTGTTCCCTTTATTAATATGTAGTGTCCGTCCTTGTCTTTCTGTACTGATTTTAATGAAAAGTTTATTTTGTCAGATATCAGGATAGCTACACCTGCTTTCTTATTGGGGGAATTTGATTGGTAGATCCTTTTCCACCCCTTCACTCTGAGTTTGTTTGTATGTTTGGCTGAGAGGTGGGTCTCCTGAAGGCAACAGATGGATGGGTCTTGTTTTCTGATCCAGTCCTCAGTTCGTTTTCTTTTAATTGGCGAATTCAGCCCATTTATATTAAGAGAAAGTATAGAGAGATGCATTGTTGTCCCTGCCATTCCGTTTTCCTAAGTTTTTCTTCTTTCCTTTCCTCCTGTGCTTGCTCAGTTAGACTTTGAGTAATGCCTGTTTGGGGCAGGTCCCAGTTCCTGGTTGCTTTCTTCAGGTTGTGTCCCCCCTCTTAGAATTCTTTGTAATGCTGGCTTAATGTTTATGTATTCATTTAGTTTTCTTTGCTATTAAAAGTTTTCAGTTCTCCATCGAATGTGAATGCTAGCTTTGCCGGGTATATCAGTCTGGGTTGGCAGTTATTGGCTCTCAGGGCTCGTATGGTGCTTTCCCAGGCTTTTCTTGCATTCATTGTTTGTGTGGAGAGATCTGCAGTGATTCTAATTTTTTTCCCGTTGTAGTATAGCTCCTTCTTCATTTTTGCTGCATGCAGGATTGTTTCCTTATTATTCAGATCCATCATTTTTACTATAATGTGTCTAGAAGTGTTTCTCCTGGGATCTTGCTTGTTGAGTGTTCGATAAGCTTTTGTGAGGTAGTTAAGATGGTCGTTTTTGAGGTGGGGAAAATTTTCATTGACTATCTTGTTAAATAGGTGTTGCATTCCCTTGCTCTGGAATTCCTCACCTTTGTCCACTCCGATTATGCGAAGGTTAAATTTTTTAGCATTATCTGCTTGCTGCTCTTGAATTTCCCTTTGGTTTAATTTGAGTGATTTTTCCATATCTGTCACTTTTTGGTCCAGTTGGTGTATTCTGTCTTCTGTATCTGACACTCTACCTTCCATTTCATTCACTCTGTTGAGCGTGGCTTCTATTGTGGTTTGCATGGTGGAAATGGATCCCTTTATGGATTCAATGTTGGTTCTCAGAGTACTGATGAGGTGAGATCAGTATGCATTACCTCTAATTTGGCGTTTATCTCACTTCTTACTGAGGTTTGTGCAGCTTCTATTTTTGCATCCAACTTTTGTTTGATATCCTGTATATCTTTTGATAGTTCATCCTTGTGCTCTTTCAATTTCTGATCCATTTCTCGCTTTATTTCTTGAGTCATTGCCTCCAGCAACCCTTGGATGTAGCTTTTGTCTTCCATTCCTGCTTTGCTCCCACTGGGGCTCTCCCCTGTGTGGCTGCTGGCTTTTGAGGTGAGCTTGCTGTCCTGGGTAGTGGTAAACCTTGTGATTTTTCTCTGTGATTTTCGCATGGGGGTTCAATCTCTTCAATCTTGTTTTGGTGTGTCTGTCTTTGCTTGGTTGCTGATTCTGTATTGGTAGAGAGAGTCTGTGCCTGATCTGGATTTTGTTGGGAGCCTATTTCCAGCTGCTATTCTGACTTACTTAGGATTCTTAGCTCTCTGCTGTAGATTGCTGGCAATTCCCGCCTTTGGAAGGGTTGAGCAGCCTAGACTGCTTGTGTTTGCTCCTGCGGGTGCTCTTGGGAAGATCAGATGCTCTGGATGCACTCTCCCAAATACTGGAGTCTGCTATGGGCTCCTGATGTGTTTTTGTTTGTTTGTTTTGGGCTGGTTGTGGGCTTGAACTCTAGGTTTGGGTGCTGTCCCTCAGCTCTTCAGCTCAAGGCTGGCACCCTACCATTTGAGCCACAGCCCCACTTCTGACCCTTTTTGCTTTGTTCAGGCGCCGGTCCCCGGGCCTGGTTCCGGCCCCAGCCTGGAGCGCGTTCATTAGGCCTGTGCTAATGTGTATACCACCTAGGTTATGCAGCCTGGAGGACACAGTTCAAATTTCTTCTACTGTTGGTAGTCTTGACCCAGGGGCGCTGTTCCTGGCTTGGGCATTTAAGCTCCCTTCCAGGGGCACTCTTGCTCTGGCCTGGCCAGCAGAGTGTGCTCCACCGGCTGGTGGAGCTCTCGAACAGTTCCCAGTTTTAGTGGGTCCTGTGGTCCGGGTGTTGGGGTAGGGAGTCTAGGTCAGGGTCTGGGGATTCCCTCCAGCTCTGGTCTCCCTTGATGGATTCACTGTCCCCTGTGGGGTACTCACCCTGTAGGTCGTCAGTTGTTGTTGCAGTCCGAGTTCAGTTGGGGTGGTTGCGGGCTGGGTTGGGCGGCCCCCGCCGGGTGGTTGCGATCGCGATTGGGCGGGTGGTCTGCGGACAGGTCCCTTTGTCTCCCTGCTGGTGCCGGGCGGCTTTGGCGGGATGGAGCCTCTCCGCTCCGGTGGAGAGTGAGGGGTGGGGGTGGGATCCTCGTGGAGACTCCCGGCTGGTAGGTTTCTCTGTTCCTGGCGATCCGCTGTTCTGCAATCCGGTACCTGGTGATCTGCAAGCAGCCCCCTGTGTCTCTGTGGCTCCGGCAGCCCCCGCCGGGCCGGCTGGCCGGTGGCTTGGCGCACTGCCGCGCGGCCAGTAAAGGTTGGGGGAGGGGTCTTCGCTCTTCTCTGTTCTGAATTTCTTCTTTTCCTCTCTTTCTTTTTTTGTTATTTTCCACCTCTGGTTTTTCTCTGAGTGTTCGTCTTTTTGTTGTTGTCGGTCTCTTGGGGAGACTAAGCGTTGGAACTCGAACTCTCTTTTTGGTTGGAGAGAGCTGTGGCGTTTCCCTACTGTCCCGTCGCCATCTTGGTCCCCCCTGTCCCTGAACACTTACTTTTCATGAATCAGTAATGTGCTATGTATTCCATGTGATGTACTAAATGTGTTGTGATTGCTTATGAGATTCCGTGTGTGTGTGTGTGTGTATGTGTGTGTGTGTGTGTGTGTGTATTGGTTGGTTGTGGGGCTTGAATTCTGGGCCTGGCACTGTCCCTGAACTCTTCACCTCAAGGCTAGTGCTCTACCACTTCAGCCACATCACCACTTCCGGTTTTCTGGTGGTGGTTCATTGGTGATGAGTCCCACAGACATTCCTGACTGGGTTGACTTTGAGCAGTGATCCTCACATCTCAGCCTCCTGAGCCACTGGGCCCTGGCTGAAATCATTGTTTTGTTGTTGTTTTGTTTTGTTATTCATGTGGCTTGGACTCTGGGCCTGGGAGCTGTCCCTCAGCTCTTCTAGTACTCTACCAAGGCTAGTACTCCAAGGCTAGTACTCTACCACTTGAGCTACAGCGCCACTTCCGGTTTTCTGGTGGTTTATTGGACATAAGAGTTTCATGGACTTTCCTGCCAGGCTGCCTTTAAACCGAAATCCTCAAATCTCAGCCTCCTGAATAACTAGAATTATAGGCATGAGCCAGCAACGCCTAGCTGAGATCTCTTTTTAATAGAAGATCTAAATAGGGTTTTAAATGAGGCAGAATATGAAAATGCAGGAAAAATTATTTTTGTAATTCATTTTTCCCCTGATCTGTACTAAACTTTACGAAAATAAGCTAAACACTCTTTCACACACCTACTTAGACTTTACTTTTGTCATGCCAGAACACTGTCTCCTTAGAATTATTGTCTTGTCTCAATTGCTAGCAGCACAAATGTGTTCTCATATATCAGGGAAACTTTGCATTTTAATAACAAAGATGTTAAGGTGGCAAATATTTCTACTTTGATTTTCAATTCCCCTAGTGTACAGGTAACACAAGAAGCTCCAAACATTTATGTAGACAAAAGCGTACCATATAGAAGAATGAAGTTCCATATTTGGTGTTCTTATGACTCAGGGCTAAATACTTGATGGAAATGTGCCATTACAGAAGCTGGTGTCATTTGATGATGTGGCTGTGGACTTCAGCTGGGAGGAGTGGCAGGACCTGGATCTTGCTCAGAGGACCCTGCATAGAGATGTAATGCTGGAGACCTACAGCAACCTCTTGTCCTTAGGTGAGCAAAAGTCATTTTAACATACGAAATCAAGTGCCATTTTCTTTTTTAAGTAGATATCTAAATATTTATGTTTCTTCAGTAGTGGATTCTAGTCCATGGAACATAAGATTCCTGTCCATTTTATTTATTTATTTATTTATTTTGTGCTGGTCCTAGGTCTTTTTTTTACTGTGAAAATACTGTACAGAGGGGTTACAATTACATGGGCAAGATAATGAGTACATTTCTTATCAAGCATTGTAGCCTCCTCCTTTGTTTCCCCATCCCATCCCTTCCCATACTCCACCCACCCGCACACGCAATCCTCACCCCACCCCACGCACCAAAGTTGTAAAGTTCGTTTTTGACATAACAACTTGTACATCTCATTGTTGCAATGGGTCCACCTGTATCCCTATTTAAACGATTTGTTTTTCCCCTTCCCCTCCACAAATTATACCAACATCAAATACATTGAAAGCACAGCTTATACTGTGGGGGAGGGACATAAAAGCAACAAAGAAATCATCTTATAAATGTGTTAGAAACAATTGCATGAAAGAAAAAAACATTTGAATACATATCTTAGGGTTCATTTCCCTAATATCAACTTATCTGACCTTTTCTGCTTGACTCAGACATATACTAGATATTGCAAATAAAGGAAACCATGGGACCTATGTTTCTTTGGGCCTGGCTTACTTCACTTAATATAATTTTTTCCAAGCCTTTCCATTTCCTAACAAATGGGGCAATGTCATTCTTCTGATGGAGGCATAAAATTCCATTGTGTATATATACATTTTCTTGATCCATTCATCCACTGAGGGGCATATCTTAGCTTAGTGGTTCCATATCTTAGCTATAGTAAATAATGCTGCAGTAAACATAGTCATGCTGGTAGTTTTAGTGTGGTCTTTTTTGTGAACATTTGGGTAAATGTCCAAAAGTGGGATTGCTGGGTCATAGGGAAGCTCTATGTAGTCTTTTGAGGAACCTCCATACTGCTTTCCAAAGTGGTTGAACAAGTTTACAATCCCACCAACAATGCAGTAAGGTTCCCTTCTTTGCACCTCCCCCCCACCCCCAGCATCTGTTGTTATTAGAGTTCTTGATTTTAGCCATTCCAACTGGAGTGAGGTGGTATCTCAATGTTGTTTTGATTTGCATTTCTTTTATGGCTAGGGAGGTTGAGCATTTCTTCAAATGTCTATTGGCCATCCTTCTTTCCTCTTCAGAGAAGTTTCTCTTAAATCTTTAGCCCACTTATTTATTGGGCAGTTATTTCTTTGAAGATTTGTTGTTGGGGGATTTAATTTTTTGAATTCCAGGTATATTTTAGATATGAAACCCTTGTCCATTGTATTACTAGTGAAGATCATCTCCCAATCCATGGGCTTTCTATTGATCTTGCTTTCCCATGCAGAAGCTCTGCAATTTCATGCAATCCCATTTGTCCAACCTTTCTTTGATTTGTTGTGTTTTTGGGTCTCTATTAAGAAAATTTGGGCCTGTGCCAAGGAGACCTAGGTTTTCTCCTATTCTATCCTGTAATGTTTACAGAGTGTCTGCTTTGACGCTGAGGTCTTTGATCCATTTGGAGTTGATTCTGGTACAGGGTGATATATAAGGATCTAGCTTTAGTTTTCTACAAGTAGTTAACCAATTTTGCCAGCACCATTTACTGAAGAGGCTGTCTTTCTTCCATTCTATTTTTTTAGCTCCCTTATCGATATTAGATGGCTATAGGTCTGTAGGTTCATTTCTGGGTTTTCAGTTCTATTCCATTGGTCCTGAGGTCTGTGCTTGTGCCAGTAACAAGCTGTTTTGATTACTTTAGCTTTATAGTAGAGTTTGAAATTTGGTATTAATAATCCTCCAGCAGTGTTCTTTCTGTTGAGGATCGTTTTTGCTCTTCAGGGTTTTTATTGTTCCGTATGATTTTTTGGATTGCCTCTTCTATTTCCTTGAAGAATGAGGTTGGAATATTGATAGGTATCTCATTGAATTTGTAGATAGCCTTGGGAACTATTGCCATTTTCACGATGTTAATCTTTCCAATCCAGGAGCATGGGAGTTTTTGCCACTTTCTAAGTTCTGTTTTAATTTCCTTTTTCAAGTTTTTAAAGTTTTCATCATAGAGGTCCTTCACTTCTTTGGTTAAGTTAATTCCTAGGTATTTTATTTTTTGTGGGGCTATTACGAATGGAGTTGCTTTCCTAATTTCAGCCACACTTTTCTCATTGTTGGCATATAGAAAAGCCATTGATTTTTGAGGGTTTATTTTATACCCTGCTACTTTGCCAAAGTTTTGAATCAGCTTGAGTAATTTGGGAGTAGAATCTGTAGTATTCTTTAAATACAAGATCATGTAATCTGCAAAGTGGGAGAGTTTTACTTCCTCTTTCCCTATTTGGATCCCCTTTATGTTTGCATCTTGTCTTATTGCTGTAGCTAGGCATTCTAATACTAGATTGAAGAGAAGTGGAATGGACATCCTTGTCTCATTCCTGAGTGAAGAGGAAATGGCTTTAGTCTTTCACCATTAAGTATAATGCTGGCTGTATATACAGCCGATATTGTATTGAGGAATGTTCCATCGGTTCCTAATTTTTCCAGAACCTTCATCATAAAGGGGTATTGGATCTTGTCAAATGTTTTTTCTGCATCTATTGAGATACCATGTGGTTCTTATCCTTGCTCCTGTTTTTGTGATGAATTATATTAATTGATTTGTGTATATTGAACCAGCTTTGCATCTCTGAAATGAATCCTGTTTGATTGTGGTGTATGATTTTTTGGATGATTTTTTTGTTGAAGTGGATTGGCCAAAATTTTGTTGAGAAGTTTTGCAACAATGTTCATCAAAGAAATGGGTCTATAGTTCTTTCTTTGATGAGTCCCTGCCTGGTTTTGGGATGAGGGCTATGATGGCTTCGGTAGTGAACTTTCTCTTTCAATTTCATTGAAGAGTTGGAAGAGTATTGGTGTGAGCTCTGCTTTGAAGGCCTTGTAGAATTCTGCTGTAAAACCATCTTGTCCTAGACTTTTCTTAGCTGGGAGGTCTCTTATTGCTGTTTCTATTTCAATGCTTGATATGGGCTTGTTAAGATGGTTTAGCTCATCTTGGTTTACTTTCGGCATGGCATTATTTGCTAGGAAAAGGTCCATTTCTGCCAAGTTCTCAAACTTATTTAGCATAAAGTTTTGAGAAGTATTCCCTTATAATGTTCTGAATCTTGGTTGTTTCTGTGGTGATGTTTCCATTCTCACCTCTGACTTTATTTATTTGGGAGTGTTCTCTTCTTTTTCTGATATGATTTGCTAAGGGTCTGTCAATTTTGTTAATTTTTTCGAAGAACCAACTCTTTGTTTTGTTCTTTCAATAGTTATTTTGGATTCTAATTCATTTAAGTCTGATTTAATTTTAATTATTTCTTTCTGTCTACTGGAATAGGGTTTATCTTGCTGCTCTTTTTCAAGGTGGTTCAGATGTCTCATTACATTGTTAGTTTCACATCTCTCCAATTCGTTGATGTAGGAACTCAGAGCTATAAACTTGCAACTGAGAACTGCCTTTGCTGTATCCCAGAGGAGCTGGTAATTTGTTTGTTCATTTTTGTTGAATATCATGAACCTTTGAATTTCCTTTCTAATCTCTTCCATGACCCACTTGTGATTCAGCAGTGTGTGATTCAGCCTCCATGTGTTACAGGGCTTTCTTTGGTGGCTTTTGGTGTTCAGTTCTAATTTTATTCCTTTGTGGTCTTAGAAAATGCTAGGTATAACTTCAGTGTTTCTGAATTTGGACAAGTTTGCTTTGTGGCCTAAAATGTGGTCTATTTTGGAAAATGTTCCATGTGCTTCTGAGAAAAACATGTATTCTGATGCTGCTGGGTGAAATATTCGGTAGATTTCTGTTAAATCTAGTTGATCTATGCAGTTGTTTAGATCTGCAGTTTCTCTGTTGAGTTTTTGCTGAGTTGATCTATCTAGTGGGGAAAGTGGTGTGTTAAAGTCCCCAAAAATTAATGTCTTTGGATCTGTGTGGGATTTGAGGGAAAGTAGTGTTTCTTGGATAAACTTGGGTACTCCGTTGTTTGGCGAATAGATGTTTAGAATTGTAATATCCTCCTGAAGGAGTTATCCCTTAATTAATATGTCACAACCTTCTTTATCTCTTCTCACGAATTTTCATTTGAAGTCTATTTTATATGATATTAGGATTGCAACTCCCGCCTGTTTATTGGGGCCATTTGCTTGGTAGATTTTGTTCCAGCCTTTCACATTGAAAATGTGTTTGTTTTTATGGGCAAGATGTGACTCCTGAAGGCAGCAGATAGAAGGATCTTGCTTTTTAATCCAACTAGACAGTCTGTGTTGCTTAATTGGAGAGTTAAGTCTGTTAATGTTGAGAGACAGGACTGAGGTATTTGGGAGTTCCTGCCATTTTATCCACCTTCTTGGGGGCTGCAGCTACTGGGTTCTTCCTATGATTCTTGGATTCTGTTTGGGTGCGGTTTCTTGGCCTTTATTGTGGTTTTGTTGGTTTTCTATGTGTAGGACATCTTTAAGAATCTTTTGTAGGGCTTGTTTGGTGGAGATATATTGTTCCAGTTTTTCTTTGCTATGGAAGGTTTTTATTTGGCCTTCAGTTATGAAGGAGAGTTTAGCTGGGTACAGTATTCTTGGTTGATAGTTGTTTCTCTTTATGGCTTGAAATACATCACTCCAGACTTTTCTTGCTTTGATTGTCTCTGCTGAGAAATCCGAGGTGATTCTAATTGTTTTCCCTTTATAGGTGATTGATCTTTTTTCCTTGACAACTTTAAGGATCTTTTCCTTGGTCTGAATTGATCCTGTGTGGATTATAATGTGACAGTGGGATGTAGTATTCTGGTCTGGTCTATTTGGAGTTCTAAAAGCTTTTTGTATCTGAATAGGCCTATCTTTTTGCATGTTTGGGAAGTCCTCTCCTAGGATCCTGTTAAACAAATTTCCTAGACCATTAACTTCTGTCTCTAGGTGCTCCTCTACACCCATTATCCTCAGATTAGGCCTTCTGATGGTGTCTTCCAAGTGTTGAATAGATCTATCATATTCTTGGATTTGTCTTGGATAGTTCTAAGTTCTTTCTCTGTAATATCTAGGCTGTCTTCAATCCCTGAGATTCGATCTTCTGCATGGTGTAACCTACTACAAGACTTTCTACTTTGTTTTTTTCTTTTCCTTCTAGATGTTCAGCTTTGATGGCTTCAAATTCTTTGTTGGAGCTTTGTTTTAGATCTTGTATGAACTCCTTTACTTCCTTAATTTAGTGTTCAGTGTTTATTCTCAAATCACTTAGTTGATTGGTTATGGTTTCCTTGGACTCCCATTCCTTCTGTTGGGTTCCATTCAACATTCCTTTTGTGGTCTCCCTGACTTCCTTCAGCTCTTTGTTAATGGATTCCATGAATCCCTTTAGTGATCTTTGTGTGTTGTCATCCTGCTCTTTCAATTCCTGTATCACTCTTTGCTTAGCTTCCTCACATTCACGCAATTCCTGTAGTTCTCTTTGAGTGTTCTCAGCCTGCTCATGCCATTCCTGCCTTTCTCTTTGAGTGTTCTCCAGCTGCTCACGCAATTCCTGTATCAGGTTTTGAGTAGCTTCCTCATGCTCATGATATTCCTGTATTAACCTTTGGTTTGCCTCTTCTCTCTCCCTCTCATGCTCATACAGAATCCTTTGTAGGTTTTCAGTCTTTTCATTTACCATATTTACCAGGAGTGTTTGTAGAACTATCTGGGAACTCTCCTCTGGATTAGTGATTATCTATTCTGTCCCCTGATTATCATGAGTGGGAGTTGAGATTCCCGGATTTGCCATTTTTCTTGTGTTTTTTTGCTTACTCTGCCCATTTGGGATGAAAGTTAACACCAGTTTTGTGCTAGAACACTATCTTAAGGCAGGCATCAACCAAAGTCTGTAGTTGCACAGTCAAAAGTCTGCAGATACAATCTAGTTCAACAGATATATCTATTCAACATCAAACAACTATATATTAATGGGCTACAAACTGCAAAGAAGAATTTGGCAAACCAGAAATTATTAGGCTTAGGGAGAGATGTGGGTAAAAATAGTAATATAGGGATGTGGGGAGGCACAGGGAGAGTTAACTAAGTCCTAATCTCAAAGCAGGAAATAGGTTGGATAGAATGAAAGTAGAGAGAGAGGAAAAAAGAAGAAAAAGACAAGAAAAAATAAGCAAAAATTAAAAAGTGCAATGCTTAAAAATTACGCAAAATTGAAAACAAAATGTTTAAAGAAGAACATGGATATAATGAGAGAATGGGAGGAATATAAAGGAAACGTGAAAAAGTTAAAAATAAAAATGCTTAAAATAATATATAGGTATAAAGAGGTGGTACTGCTATTAAGGAATTTAAGTCTAAGAGGTTTTGAATTGAGTAATAAATTTCTGGATTAAGTGTGTACACAATGGGGGATAAGGTCTAATAATCAACTACGGGTATATCTGAGGATGTGCAGAACAGCAATTAAGTCACACAAAGAAGAACGAAAGAGAAGGTGAAAGGAATGAGAAAGAAAAAAAAAGATCAAAAGTTCAGTAGAGCTAAACAAAAAACAAAAAATAAAATTTTTAAAAAGGAAAAAATAAAGAAAAACGCACACACACATATATCCCTAAAATAAAAATTATAACAGGAAGAAAAAAAAGTTACTAGAAAACAATTTTTTAAGTTAAAAATTAAAAAACTTTTAGAAAAAAATTCTTATAAAAGGTACAAAAAAAAGTTCTTTGATTTTTTTTTTTTTTTTTTTTTTAGGGGGATAGGAAGATCCTGTATCTTCCTTGTGTCCGTAACCAGTCTCTTGTTGGAGTCTCTGGTCTGCTTGTGGTGTTTGATTTTCCTGTGGCTTGGTTGGTTTCTTAAGTCAGTTTGTTTGAGCAGGCAGAAAAATGCTCTGCTTTACCCAGGATTTTGTGATCCTCCTCCCAGGCTAGTTCAATGAGAGGGAGATCTGCTTTGAGTATCACAAAAGAGGGAGATGGCTGTTTCCTCTAGTTTGGAGATGCTGTGATAAGCCTAGGTTCTGGATAGAGTTGAGGCCTTTCAGCAAATGGTATCTTTTCCCTGAGGGGCTAGCTTCTGAGAGACTCACAGAGCCTAGTCTGGAGCCATTCTCAGGGTTTATGTTTACCGAATTTCAATTGAGTGTCAAGGCTGCTAAAGGGAGGGGCAGCCTCTGTCTCTGTTTACCTAGTGAAGAAAGCCACTCCTGGGGCTGGCGGCCTGAGCTGAGTGACTTTTCCCTGAGTGGAGCTGAGCCTGGCAGGTCAGGTTAGGTTCTTGTGACCTGCTAAATGACTCTAGTTTTCTTCCAAGGCCTGAGTTGGAGCTGGCAGCTCAGCCAGGCCTTTGTCAGTATCCAAGATGGAGATCTCCGGTAGTAGGGGGGAGGGGTGGTCTTCCCTACTCTGCTCCCTGAGAGTGATTGAGGATGTCAGGCTTCTACTCTCGCCCAGTCTTGGTTCCTGGATCGTCTCTGGTCTGCGAACTACAGGATGAAGATGTCTGCTCCTTGTTGGTTCTTGCTGGTGTTGAATAGAATCCGCTCCCCCGCCACATCTGGCTCCTTCATCCCGGACTCTCTGTGTTACAGGTATGGCGGCTACAGGTGCCACTGCTGCAGCCGCAGCTGCCACTGCGTCTGCAGTTGCTGGCAAGTGCTCAGATCTGTCTCCTTGCCTGGATTTTCCTTCTCTGGCCTAACTCTCTGTACTGTGATGGCACACTTGGCGTGATTCTCTGGCTTAGGACTGTTTACTGGAACACTAAAACTGCTTTCTATGTGAGAGCTTGTTTAGCCTCCAGCTTCTCCTCCACCATCTTCCCGGAACTTGGTCTTTTGTCCATTTTTTCTAAGGGAAAGTTCTACTTGATTATGTAACTCGAGAAAATTTTATTCTCATTCTTCAAGAAGCCCAATCAGCACTCGGACCCAAGTTCTAAACTGAGTTCTACTATTAGAAGACTGTCTTCCTAAACTTGGGGTGGTTTTTGTAGGTGCAAATGTAGTCTAGGATAGAATGTACATCACTGTTTGAGGTATGATCTGAAAATCACTAGTTCAAAGTAGTTATTTGTAATCAAACCTGATCCTGGGTGCAGTGGCTAACACCTGTAATCTTAGCTTCTCTGGAGGCTGAAAAATGAAGATTTTGGTTTGAAGCCAGCAACTGCAGAAAAGTGACCATGAGGCTTTTATCTCCTATTCCCCTCACAAACTGCAAATATAGCTGGGACTGAAACCAGAAGAATGCTTGCGCAAAAGAGCTGAGTTCAAGCCACACAATTGGCAAAATAAGTCCAAAGCTGGGGAATGTCAGCCAGGGAGCAGGTAAGAAATGAGACACAAGGTTTAGGAGCATCTTTGTGAACACGATTTTTAACACTTTACAGTAATGATGACCCAGCCTGAGCAATAGTTCTCTACTTCTTAATAACAGGACACTGTGTTCCTAAACCTAAATTGATTGCCAAGCTGGAGCAAGGTGCAGAACCATGGATAAGAGAAGCCTCAGACAAGAATCTCACAGGTGAGATAAATCATCTTGCATAGTGATCTTGCAGCCAGAGCCCACTTGGTAAGTTTAATGAGCTGTACTAAGCAATGATGTTCCTAGTTCCCTGAGTCATGTGTGGCAGAGAACAAAGTGATCTTTTGTCTCAAGGGCTTGTCAGTCAAGAAGTCACATGGAGACAAACTGATATAGTTAAAGTGAGCAAATTTCTCTTTGTAGAAATCATTCTTAAACAGAAAAAGGAAATAGAAATGTAGAAAATGAGGTCTCACTTTCTTTGAAACTAGCACACTATGCAGGTATGAGGAAATAAGGAATATGCCAGGACTGCTATCCACTGATGAGGAAAATTGCTTCTTGGTGATGGTAGGCAGTGAGTGAGATTCAGAACCAAAGCTTTTGGTTCACAGGGGATGATTACCTGGGTGGTGAGCTGGAGTATCTTTGGTCTTTAATGATTGTGAGGGGGTAGGGGTGTCAGAGAGGAAATTTGATGAGAATTTGACTAAGAGAAAGAGAAACAAATTTTAAAAATGCCACCAATAGCCAGGCGCCAGTGGCTCACACCTGTAATCATAGCTACTCAGGAGCCTGAGATCTGAGGATCACAGTTCAAAGCCAGCTGGGCAGGAAAGTCCCTGAGACTTTTTTTTAACTCAGGACCTAGGTGCTGTCCCTGAGCTCTTCAGCTCAAGGCTAGCACTCTACCACTTGAGCCAAGGCACCACTTCCGGATTTTTTCTTTTTGCTTATGTGGTGCTGAGGAATCAAACCCAGGGCCTCAGGCATGCAAGGCAAGCACTCTACCACTGAGCCACCTTCCCAGCCCTACCCTGAGGCTCTTATCTCCAATAAACCACCAGAAAACCGGAAGTGGTGCTGTGGCTCAAGCATTAGAATGCTCGCCTTGAGCTGAAGAGGGCAAGGACAGCACCCAAGCCCACAGTTCAAGCCCCATGACTGACCAGAAAATAAAAAAATGCCACCAATACCTAAAGTAATTCTTAGTGAGAAGTTAGAACTGAAGAGATGGAGTTATATATTCTTATTCTCAGGAACCTTTCCTGCTTACGTGAAACGCAAACAGATGTATAAAATACCCTAATGGTCTCTAAATCTAGACAGTATTTCTGTTCTTTATCTAATGGTTGATAAGCAAAGCAGCAAAATATATAAATTATTTTCACAAATTAAAAGAAAAACAACAGCTATTCCCTTATGACCAAACCTCAAGGGTACTAAACCAGATGTTAAGTCCTCGGCTTAAAACTTAACAATGTATAGTTGAATAATTCGAGTAATAAATTCCTTGAGAAAAACAGAAAAAATATGAAACATAAAAACATTTTTTACCATTGTAAAATATCAGTACCAGTTTGTTAACTAATACATTACAGAGAAAAAAATATATTCTGCATCAACAGTTCCTGCTTTGATATTTTAAAAATCTCGTAACAGATAGGATGAGAGAAAATGTCTTTACTTTTACATTAAGGGATCTTGAGGTCCCATTTATGTTTTTGTCTGACTTTCTATATCTCATTGTAGATGTCCAAGAAATGGAGTACAGGATTAAGACCTATCAGAAGAGTCCCTATGAATGTCTGTCTGAAGTAGGAGTCATGAATAGTAACACAGGGGAGGAAAATGTGAAATTAATAACAACTTTTAATTTGAGGTCAAAACCTAAGTCAGAGATGATTAGGAATAATGGGAACTCCTTAGGGATAAGGACAGAGGAGTTCAGGCAGTGTCAGAACATGCTTCTCTATGGTGAACCTACTGAGATGTGTGCTGCTTATAGTCCCGGAGTATCTCCTGTAGTTAAAGAATCAAACCAACGTGGACATTCTTTCACCCGGAAGGCACACCTTACTGTCCATCAGACAACACACACAGGAGAGAAACCTCATGAATGTAACCTGTGTGGAAAGTCTTTCGCCCGGAAGGAACACCTTTCTGTCCATCAGAAAACGCACACAAGAGAGAAACCTTATGAATGTAACGTGTGTGGAAAGTCTTTCATCCGGAAGGCAAACCTTACTTTTCATCAGACAACTCACACAGGAAAGAAACTTTATGAATGTAACATGTGTGGAAAATCTTTTCACTTGAAGGCATACGTTATTGTTCACGAGAGAACACACACAGGGGAGAAACCTTATGAATGTAATGTGTGTGGAAAGTGTTTCACCCAGAAGTCACAACTTACTGTCCATCAGACAACACACAGAGGAGAGAAACCTTATGAATGTAATGTGTGTAGAAAGTCTTTCACCCGAAAGGCACACCTTACTGTCCATCAGACAACACATACAGGAGAGAGACCTTATGAATGTAATGTGTGTGGAAAGTCTTTCACCCAGAAAATATGCCTTACTGTCCATGAGAGAATACACACAGGAGAGAAACCTTATGAATGTAATGTATGTAAAAAGTCTTTCACCATGAAGGCACACCTTACTGCCCATCAGGCAACTCATACAGGAGAGCGACCTTATGAATGTAGCAGGTGTGGAAAGTCTTTCACCCAGAAAATAAGCCTTAGTGTCCATGAGAGAATACACACGGGAGACAAACCTTATGGATGTAGCTGGTGTGGAAAGTCTTTCATCCGGAAGGCAGACCTTAAATCACATCAGAGAAGACACACAGGAGAGAAACCTTATGAATGTATGGAGTGTGGAAAGTCTTTCAGGTGGAAAGCAGGACTTAACATCCATCAGAGAATGCACACAGGAGACAAACGTTATGAATGTAGTAGTTGTGGAAAGTCTTTCATCCAGAAGACACACCTGAAAACACATCAGAGAAAACACACAGGAGAGAAACCTTATGAATGTATGAAGTGTGGAAAGTCTTTCATATGGAAGGCACGCCTTAATATCCATCAGAGAACACACACAGGGGTGAAACCTTTGGGATGTAACCTGTGTGGAAAGTCCTTTGCCCAGAAGGCACACCTTAACATCCATCAGAGAACACACAGGAGAGAAACCTTATGAATGTAACAGCTGTGGAAAGTCTTTCACCAGGAAGAAATACCTTACTAACCATCAGAGAACACACACAGGAGAGAAACCTTTTGTGGAAAGTCATTCGCCCAGAGGGGACAACTTTCTGTCCATCAGAAAACACACAGGAGTGAAACCTTGTGAATGTAACAGCTGTGGTTCTCACAGACGTCAACCCTAATTTTTCATCAGAGAGCACAACACAGGAGAGAAGCCTTATGAATGCAACAAATGTGGAAAGAACCGTCCACAGGAGGCCACAGCCTAGCATATAAGAAAATTCACCCAAATGAGAAACCTCTGGAATGTAACAAGTGGAGAAAGTCTTTCATCTGGAAGAAAAGTCAGTTTGCAACAAAAAACCCACACAGGATACAAACCTTATCACGGTAGCAAATGTGGAGTCCTTCAACCGGAAGGCACAGCTCAGGGTTCATCATTGAACACACACACACATGAGAGCAATCATAGAAATAAAAAACACGTGGAAAGGTTTTCAAAAAAGTTCTCCATACTCTCAGTCATTCTTCCCTGAATGTCCATCTTCTACAATCCTTGAGTTCCATATCTAACATTCTCTATTGGGAGATCTACAAGAAGATGATAATGTCTAATTTCTGTTTCATTAAATTCTAGGATGATATTTACCTTTTTCCTTTTATTTTGCTGTTAGTTTCATTTGAACACGTGGCCCTTTAGTTCCCTTTGGCTTTTATGCTCAAGCTTAGCACTCTACCCTTTGTGCCACATCTCTAATTTTGAGGTTGTTGTATGTAGTATCATGAGTCCTATCATTGGGAAGCAGTCTACTTTCTTCAAAGGTGTTTACAAAACTTATGTAAGTAAAACTGAAATGTTATAAATTAGGAAAATAAGTATTTTCATAGAATCTATAATACAAATTGAGTGATTTAATGGAATTTTGTAACACATTTAAAAATAATGAGAAATATTTGAGAATTAGATAAAGATGAGTAATAAAGTTAATTTAGTAAATACTTATTTTATGTTGTAAAATTCAATAAAAGTGACAGAGTCCATTCAGATTTTATGTGGACAGCAATTTTCATATTTTCTGTAAACCAACAATACCTTGTATAACATCAGTCTCTCCCCCCTGGAGCTTAACAGTTCTATAATTTTTATAGAGCTGGTAGAATTTGGCATATATTCTATCACAACAGAATTGACGAAATACATACATTAAGGGTTAGACGTATGGCTTAGCTGTTAGAGCACTAGCAAATGAGCAAAAGTATCATGTACTGAGTTTGAGTCCCAGTCTTGGAGCTAAAAAAAAAACAAAAAAGAATATACTCTTACTATTTCAAATGAAATTTTCAAATGAGTACTGAAAAAAGATGAGTAATATAGATAAAGTAACATTGTGCAACCCCATGTGTGAAAACAGCATTCAGAAGCTCCACATGAACATGTCTCCATAGCAACAGCTTATGAGGACTTTAGAGAGATACTTGAGAATGTCCCAACGGTTCGTGAATGTGAACCTCTTGGCTTTGAGTTACAGATTGCAAGGCGAGGCATGCATCAGCATGTCACCGGGGTGTTTACATTGAGCACCTATCATTTTCCCACTAGACATTTTCATTTTACAAAACTAATCTGAAAACCAAAGATTATATTAATGCCTATACATGAAGTCATGTTTAAAAAGCAAACATTGTGAATCTTCATTGTGAATATTTTCATTGATCATGTAAATTTCAATGTGAATCAAGGAACAAGGTAAAATGAAACAGTGAAAAGAATCTTATTTCCTTGATTTGAAATACCAACCTTACCAATTTCTTCTCTTCCTCAGTTTGATGTAGATGTAGAATAAAACTTGCAGTTCTTTCTGAGAAAAATATATATGTGTATGTATGTATGTATGTATATGTATGCAAACATACATATATATGTCTATATATACTTAATGTATATAAGATATTGAGCTTTGACATATATAAGTCATTTTTAGGTAGAGTAAGATTACAATCCATTCACTGGAAATATATCAGTGATATATATATATATGTGTGTGTGTGTGTGTGTATAGATATCTATGTATATATCTATGTATGTATACACATATATACCAGTACAAATTCATCCACTCACTTGAATCTACCCACCGTTCTCCATAGCACCATTCATTGTATCAGAGCTTTTCCACAATCAGCTCATCTCAGGAGCAGCCATGGTGCAAAAGAGCACAGACCCATATCAGGCCCTAAGTACAGGCACATAAAGGAGGAAACTCACTTACTGTATGATCAAGTCCTCAAAGAAGGGATAGCAGTAAGGTTAAATTATTTGGAATTGAAAACCCAAGAAATGAAGATTCTTACAAAGAAGAGGATTAAAAGTCAAGGAATTTCATTGATTGAAAATAAAAGCACAATTCATCTCACCATGAATAGTTTCTCTGACACATTAGCACCTAAGAATATTCCTAGTTCTCCAACTCATATTTTTTCTCCCTTTCACCCTGAAGTGTCTGAAACTCACCTGATGAAAACTGTTGGTCAGTGTAAAGTATTTGGCTGATTTTAAGAGGTCTCAGAACACTTCTGAAGCAGCTGGGCACCTGTGGTTCACACTTGTACTCCTATCTACTCAGGAGGCTGAGATCTGAGGATCATAGTTCAAAACCAGCCAAGCTAGGGAAGTCGTTGAAATTACTATATCCAATTCACCCAAAGGCGAACAGATGGTTCAAGTGACACAGTGCTAGTCTTGAGCAAAAATGTTCAGGGACAGCACCTACGCCCTGAGTTCAAGCCCCAGGACCAGCAAAAATGCAAATAAACATAGAAGCCCTGATTCAATACCAGAAATAATACAAAACATGTAAATATCAATATGTAAAGCTGCTGGGCTCAGGCCGCTCATGCCTGCAGTTCTGAAGATCAATCTTTGAAGCTTACTTTGGCAAAATGAACATGAGACACTTATCTCCAATTAATGTAAAAGTCAGAAGTAGTAGAAATGTGGCTCAAGTGGTAGAGGGCTAGGCTTCAGCAAAGCTCAGGTACAGCACCTAGGCAATGAGATCAAGTGCTAACATTGGCATGTTTGACTGATGTACAGAAATCAATGCCAATTGTAGTAATTGAACTTCATTTCATAATAATGCACACTTAAAGAATCCTCTTAGAAACAAAAAAGTAGATTTCTATGATACGGTTGTGAAGCTAGTTCATCATTTGTTGAGAGCTGACAGTAAAGTTCAAAGGTCATCTTGACCCTTGTGCTCACTTGAAGGCACATACAAGAAACTGGCTTACTAGAATAACACCAGGTGCCTAGGATTGCTTTGCTATGTCTGCAGTTTGTTTTACTTTCTACCAGTTGACCTTGTCTTGTTTTTACTGCACTCTGTTTTTACTGAAATTTTCCTTGTTTTTCTGGACTATTGTAACCTTATGTTACCTCTTGACTTCTAATAATATATATTAGGGAAAGTTAAAAAATAAACGGTGCTGCAGTCTTGAGCTGCAGACCTCCCAACCCCATCGTTTTTCTTGTGTCTTTTTTTTTCCTCATCCTCGCCCCCTAATTCAGGATTCCCTCTCGTTGCCGGCAGGCTCCGGCAATCATTTAGTAGTTCCTCTAAATATAATCCTTCCTTAATAACTAGGAATTTGTTTGGTTTGAGGACATCAGTGTATTCACCTCAAATAAAGTTAGTAAGCTAGGTGTGGTTGGGCAGGTTTATAATTCAAAATGTAGTGAAGGAAGACAGGATTTTCACTAGTTTGAGAGCAACACAGGCTACATAGTAAGGCTCTGCATCAGTTTGTATATGGATATATAGAGAGACATATACACACATGCATATCTATACATACACACTTGCACAATCATGCATGTTATATGGTATATATTAATATATTACATATTTTATATATACATAAAGTACTTTGGTTTTTTATAAGGAATGTTAATGGCCATGGTTTCTCTGATGATGTCAAACCACAGACTGTGTAGTTTTCTCATATATGTATGTGTGTGTATGTTGCATGTCCCCAACTAATACTGGATATATATTATATATATATATGCTTTATGTATTATATATAGTTAATATATAATTAGAATATATATATGGTCCAAATAGATTGGGACGCACTTTATGGCATTTGAAAATTCATCTTATTTTCTATGGCAACAGCCATAAAAGGAAAAAACCATGTAGGTACTGGTGGCTTGTGCCTGCAAGGTATTGATGGATTTTTCCTGTAAGCCTAGATACTCAGGAAGCCAAGATCTGAGAATCAAGGAATAGAGCAAGCATAGACCAAAAAGACTACAAGACATTAGCTTCAATTAACTAGCAAAAAGCTGAGTGGGAGGCATGACTCGCATCTCCTTGATCTATAAGAGAGGAAACTGAACAAGCACAAAACCTGAGTTCTAGCTCAGGTACTGGCAAAAACAAACAAATAGGCATTAGCCAATTCAGTTAAAAAAAAAAATCAGCTATCTGAAGAACAAGGTCTTAGTATCATAGAAATTCTCCAGCAGTTGTGGATTAAGTAACCGTGTATGGCCTTTAGATATTTGAATTATTTTTTTTTGGGGGGGGGGTGTCAGGTTGTGAGGCCTGAACTCTGGGCCTGAGCGCTGTCCCTCAGCTCTTCAGCTCAAGGCTAGCGCTCTACCACTTGAGCCACAGTGCCACTTCCGACTTTTTTCTTTTTGCTTATGTGGTGCTGAGGAATCGAACCCAGGGCCTCAGGCATGCAAGGCAAGTGCTCTACCACTGAGCTACCTTCCCAGCCCTAGATATTTGAATAATTTTATGACGGATTCTATTTTTTTTTTTTTGCTAGTCCTGGGGTTTGAACTCAGGGCCTTGGCACTGTCCATGAGCTTCTTTTGCTCCAGACTAGCACTCTACCATTTGAGACACAGTGCCACTTCCAGCTTTTTCTGTTTATGTGGTACTGAGGATCGAACCAAAGTTTTCATTCATGCTTGGCAAGCACTCTACCACTGAGCCTCATTCTCAACACATCACAGATTTTGATTTTTGGTTTTGTTTTTTGTTTTTTTGGTTTTTTTTTTGCCGGTCATGGGGCCTGAACTCTGGGCCTGGGCGCTGTTCCTCAGCTCTTCAGCTCAAGGCTAGCGCTCTACCACTTGAGCCACAGTGCCACTTCCTGCTTTTTCTGTTTATGTGGTGCTGAGGAATCAAACCCAGGGCCTCATGTATGCAAGGCAAGCACTCTACCACTGAGCCACCTTCCCAGCCCCCACAGATTCTGATAAGTAGAATTAAAACACAGCATAATAGACTGCAGCATGGGAAAACATATTTGCCAGAAATACATCTGAAAAGAGAATAAGATACAGAGAGCTCAAATATCTAAACTCCCAAAGAACCAATAATCCAATTAATAAATACGTAAACTGACAGGACAAATGAGTGAACTTAATTCCCAAAAATATATAACTGAGAACATTTAGATGAAGCAATTCTCAACATCCTTGGCTAGAAAGATAAGGAAAAATGGAATGACATATAAATTTCATTTCAATCAGAGTGCACATCAGCAAGTACACACAAAGAAATAACTGCTGGTAAGGATATTTGTGTGCATTTAAATTATGGAAATATGGTATAGATGTCTCAAAAAGCTAAAAATAGAAGCACCATAGGATCCAGCAATACTACCCATGGGCATACATCTGAAAGAATATAAGGAGGGAACATGGTCATGTTTATACCCACATTTATTGCACCTCTATTCCCAAGAGCCAAACTGGAAGCAGTCTAGAAGCACTACAGTTGATGAATAGACAAAATGTGGCTTAGACATGCCAAGTTCTAGGCAGTTTGTATATTATTCCCTTCTGCTAACAATGGTATCCTGTCACAACTATCAATATCCAGATTACAGAGACATGGAATTATTTCTGCCATTGTATAGATGGGAAATCAAGATCCAAAGGGTTTTTTTAAACTATGCCCAAGTGTTAATGAGTTACAAAAAAAGACAGCTTGCCTCAGTAAACTGTAATCTACACAGTCAGCTAATGACAGGAATGTTAAAGAATGTGGAGATGATTGAGAACTCTAGAATAGTTCATGAAATTCCAAGCAATCAGTTGTGTGCTGAATGAGTGGGTTCTTATTTCTTGAATTAAGGATATGTGTCTGACCTCAGTCCCACAGTTTGAGGAGTTACATACTTACAGATTAGTCTATCTCAGTTTATGTCAGTCACTTTAATGCAAAGCTCTACAACTCAACTTCCATCTTGGTGTTAGGGTTTTATGAAACTTCTCCTCCTGGTAGGCAGAAGGACTAACTGACAAAAATTAAGCAGAGGGGTTTCAACAGTTGTGAAAATTAGATTTTCAAAATTTTCACCAGGAAGTGGGTACTTGAAAGGGGTGAGATGGGTTTAAGGGGAAGGCAGTGAACAAATGAAGAAGAAGAAAATGCTGTCCGGGTTCCAATGTGCATCTCACAAAATTAAGAAAAGACAGAAAAGGGATACATAGGGGAGGGATGAGTGAGAATGTTGAACTGAGTGACATTGATCAAGAAACATTGTATTTGTAATTGCTTGGATAAAGGAAAAGTCCTTTGTACAACTGTCAGAGGCATAGATGCCTGTGACCCCATCTGAGGTTTTGTGTGCCATGAGGATGCTATATGCGGGCATGCAATCCCTCGGGCAGGGGAAAGGGGAATGTCCCTTCCAAGTCAGGGCGAAAGTCCCACACCCAGCCACAAGTTTCAAGTGAAGGTTTGCAGGAAGTGCCATTCTTGCCCTTCTTATTCATCCCATAGAACAAGGCCTCCAGACTCCCTTTGTGTGTCTAAGGAAGCTCACCTCTGCCTTGCTTACTTTCAGTAACCTTTGATCACTGGAGCTACCTCACATTTGTTGTCAAGGATTAATTCTCCTGCTAACTGACTTAAAGTTAACTCTCATTGTCTGTATTCCCGTAAAACTGTTTAAGATCAACTTTCTGCCTCCTGGCTGAAGATTTACTTTCCTGCCTGTATGCTATATATAAGCATGTGATATTTCAATAAACTTTGTCTATGCCAACAAGGTGTAGTCCACTTTCTGTCTACCAGATGTGTATTCCTAGGTCTTGCTGGTTGAACAGCAACATACAACTCCTTCAAGATAAATAAGAAAATGTGGGGCTGGGAAGGTAGCTTAGTGGTAAAGTGCTTGCCTTGAATGTATGAGGCCCTTGGTTCGATTCCTCAGCACCACATAAGCAGAAAAAGCCAAAAGTGGGGCTGTGGCTCAAGTGGTAGACTGTTAGCCTTGAGCTGAAGAGTTGAGGGGTAGCACCCAGGCCCAGAGTTCAAGCCCCATGACCAACCAAAAAGAAAAGAAAATGTGCCTTGCATAATCAAGGGACCCTTATTCAGCTACAGACAAGATAATACAGCATTCATTGGCAAAAGGATGTAACTGTATAGAGACTTGTTATTTGAACTAAATTAGGTTAATACAGACAAATGCTATGTTTTTGTCTTATATAATGGAATGGAATGGGGTCCTAAAATATATTCATACCTATGTGTGTACATATGTATAATCACATCCTTAAACCAAAATTGTAATATGTGGTCTATTTGGGGATTCCAAGGACTAGTCATAGAGGGAACAGGATGGACAGACCCTGAATAACACTGATCTACAAGATATGAACCTATGAGGAATGCATACAAGAACTGATGGAAAGTAGTTGAATAATAGAAGTGGGGAAGGAGGTAGTGGACAAGTGAAGAGGGGACCCCAGAATAAGTTCATCTGATTAAAGCAACTATATATATTTTGAAATCCCTAGGTGAAACCAATTTGCACAACTAACATAAATAAAAAAACAAATAATAGCACAGTTCAAAAAGAAATGTACTCAATGCATGACTATGGAACTATGACCCCTTCATACATCACCTTTATGGTAAAAATTAAAAAGAAAAACAAACAAGTAACAGGAACATAAAACATTCTGTTGAGGATCTGAGTACCAGTAGGAGCTGAGAAGATAGGATAAGGAAGGCCGTATGATGAAATAAACCGTGTATATGTTTGTGCAAATAGAATGATGCAATGCGTTGACACTGTTTTGAGAAAGGGGATGAGGAAGGGCATGTTGTGACCTGAGAGCGAGGCAATCCTTCAAGGCACAGTTAAAGGTGAAAGAAGGAATTTTTATTTACACGAGAAAGGGGGCCTGCAACTACCTTGTGCTGGGCTGGCTACCCAGAACCAAGAGCATCCTCAAACTCCAAGCCTCCAATGGGCAGCCCCAACCTTTTTAGTTGGATTGCAAACCTTCTCCTAGTCAGTCTGCAAAGCTTCAAAGCTCTAAACCTCCAAAGGGGAAGGCTT